GCTACCTGTATACTTTAGTATAACGTTTTAATAGGTATACTTTCTTTAGCTGCAGATGCCCCGCTTACTCCAACATATCCGAACTTATTATTCGAATATTTAATTAGTATTCAACACTGACGACAGTATCGAGCGTATCTAACTGTTCAGTTAATTTCTAATTTCTTCTACAGTTAATTTATCTGGATGTTGCCGGCTAAAATCCTGAAATTCTATCCTAATCAATACTTATCCAATTTTTCAACGTAACAACTCGCGATAATCTGCTGATGGCCAAAAAGCATATCGAAACCTGTAATATCTGCTGTAGCTTCGAGCAATTAACAGAACAAAATTTGTCAGGCAGTTAACAAAACAGTTAAGGCTGCATGCAATATAAAAATGTTCTCAGCTAGCACAGGGAGGCTGGTTCCAATTTCCGACATGTTTGTTTTGCCAACCGCTGTTCTTGGACAACTGATAGCAAGTATTTTTGTTGGCTTCCTGATAAGTTTGGTGTACACTAGGCAGCCTTCTTACTTCAAAACTCCGAAGAGCGGGAGATTAGTAATAATGAAAAGATATGTATTGGTGGCGAGATGAAGAGATCAGTAGATTGGATAGTTGTAGATTAGGATACTCCACTAAACAGATTGGACGAGGTAATTTATCTGGATGTTGCCGCCAAAAATCCTGATATTCTATTCTAATCAATACTTATCCAATTTCTCAACGTAACTCGCGATAAGCCGATATCGTTGAAATGTGAACGAAGAGATCTCAAACCGTGCGTCTGTGAAAAAAATGGGTAAAGGGGTCGGGAACCGGGAAACGGTACCTCGTCTTCCCGTTGATTTCTAATTTGGACGAGTCATCCACAGCGCTCCGGTGGCCTATACAACAACAACTTGACCGGCTTTGCGGAGAAAACATGGCTTTGAATATGTCGCGAGTAATGTCTTCTGATATCACATGCAGCGCATCCGGCATGCATTCATGCACCATTAGGATGTCCATCATCTGCGTCCAAGCTCTTACGCCTTGAAAGCGCGATATCGCATCTTGAGTTAGCGAAGCGTATGTACGACGGTCTCCAGCAAAAGGGAATCTGGGAAACCAAATTACTCGGTGGCCAACTCTTTCGCCCGGGAAAGTACAGAGATGGCATCCATGCGAAGATTGCCAGCGGGGTAAATCGTACAAAGTTTTCATGGCTCCGAAATCGATGACACCGTTAGCCAGTATCGGGGTGCAGAACCAAGTATTGTTGTTGTGTATTATCGGAATACCATTCTCGCTCATCGTTGCAAGTTCTTCCCGAAGGCGCCCAAACATTGCGGTCAAGGGCTTTTCCGTGGGAGTTTTCTTTGTGAAGGTGATTCCAGCCAAAAGTACGTTTTCGATCTTGTTTTTCTCCTTGAATGGAAGCCCCTCGAGACGGATGTAGATGGGCCATGCCTCGGACCGTGAAAGCTTCTTCAGCCTGACACCGTCGAAATTTAGCGTCAATATGACCCTCATTTTATGCTCATGGAACACCGTGAGCGTTTTAATGGTCCGCTTGTACCTTGGAAATGAAAAGTCGTTTCACTTCGCTTAGAACTCGCTTCCCCGCTACGAATGTCTCTGTGAAGTTGAACAAGAGTTGGAAGAACGTTGTTGAGAATCAGCGACAGTTGAGGTTCGATTTCTAAGGAAGTGGATCATTCTCTTCATGGCTTTGCACCGCTTCGGAGGAATGCCTCGAATCTCACATTCAGGATTCACACAGACTGCCTTAGATCTACTCAGACGTGCGTCGCAAGGGTTGCAGTAGAGGAACTTGGTATGACCGAAGCGCTGGCGGGCATCATGCATAATTTTCTTGATTGATTTATTCATCGGCTCAGGAACTGGTGCACCAAGCAAAGCCAAATAATCGTCCAAAAAACTTGCCATTTTTTCGCTCACGCCGAAATGCATTTTAAAAGCGGTAGCATAGATAACCTACTGTTGGAATGTCGGATGCGGATTAGGAGTCCTTGTCACGCCCTGGACATCGACCACATTTTCTTCTTGGACTTCGTCAGCAGCTTCTTCAACTTCTTCTGGGTGTTCAGCCCCGGGTCTCTCCAATTCAACCACCATAGGCTCTTCGCCGACCTCCCTTTCCTGATCCGGAGCTTGTTCAGCATTCAACTTAGCAAGCTGATAGGCTAATTCCACCACTTCTCCCTTCGCTCTCAATGATTGACTACTTCTTAACGGTCTCGGCATCTTCACTAACGGCTCCGATAGCTCTTCGTCGACGTCGCGTGAACAAGAAGGGGAGTGGATGGTTCGCTTTCGGCCTCTTTTGATACTGGGTGTAAACCCCTCTCTCTCTTCAATTGAAGCAACGATTCCAAGTCAAATTCGCGGGGTTATCTGTCGATAATGAAGTTATAGATGGCGAGTTGACTGCTAACGAAAAAAAAAACAAAGAAAACCGACAACGAAGTCTTTGAACGAGGACTCTTCCCCTTCGAAGTAAAGGAAGGGGCGTGTCGGGCGGGCTGTTCGAACTAGCTTGCTCCACCGGGTTGACGGACTACTTGAACTTTCGTCCATGGTCCTGCCACGAATGGCGGAGGGCACAGACAGTTAGAGAACGGCGCCTGGCTCGGCTCCAAATCCCAAGGAAGGAGGTGAGAGCCCTAGGACTAAGCCTTGTAGGAAGGAGGGACTTCGAGGTGGGTGAGCCAACTATGGTGTGGCAAAAGGGTCAGGAGCCTCTGATAAGGTGAGAGAGCGCACGCAGACGAGAAATGGATATGGGGCGGCTTAAAGGACCGGGTTCAAGTAGATCGTCAACCGCTCCGCCGGCATCTCTTGCCGGCTCATGCCAGCACAAACAAAGAAATGCGATTATTAAACGAGCTAAACTAGTAAAACCAATCAAAAAAGAAGCAGTAATTTCGAAACACCGTACAAAAAAACTAAACTAAGCGCGCACGTAGTGAGGCACAGGTTCTCCACAGCTGGCAAGTCGGCTAGGCGAAGGCACTTGCCTTCGAAGGCATTCAATTCCCTTTTCTATCGGCTTTTCAAGGTGTTTTTTGTTCATTGGTACATCATATGTTCTTGACTAGGGCTAGCGCATCACTTCCTCACCGTCAGGTCCTGTCGTTTTGTTGCTTCAACGTCAATTTTACCGCGTTTTGTTTTAAAATTTCCTGATCTCTGTATCGCGCGGGAGCCCTTGGTAATTGATAAAGTCACCCAATCTTTACGATTTATCAGAACGAAACCATTACTTGAAAATTCTCGGAGCTGTTAAGCTATACTTTCTGGCAATTAGAATTGGTTTTCCGTGGGATTCGCGGCAAGCTATCCATATCAGTATGAATATATCCCGCATGTTGCAGGCCATGTCGCCGTGCGAGATACAGGATTAGGCATAAATATCGTCAATGTGTTGATTTTCAATGGCATTTACCCTTACGATTAGGATAACAATAACTCATCGCCATCGGACTTGTCCATGTTTTATGAAAACAATACTGCGTCAGTTAGAAATTATATGTGTATCTTTTCCCTATCTTGAATGCATATCTTTTCTTTTCTTTCTTTTCTTTTTCTGTAAGGAAATTACACTTTTTGGTTTCACCCTTAACATTACCAGAAATTTGCCATTCAACTTGATCCTTGTTGAAGTTGACAGTGAAAGTGGGATTCGCCGACAGCGTATATTATTGTGTTCTTCTGCGACGCATTGTGGCTGAATGCATTGGCTTGTGAATATTTCATGGGTATGTGTAGTTGAAACACTTACAAATCGAAATTTGCTACGTAATCAGAACTTACATACAGATAGAATCTAATAAAATCTTGCTTTATCGATTTGTAATCTCAAACATAAAATATAATAACATCTTCAATGAAGGTTTCAAGGCAGGAATGATGGCCTAGTCACGACTATTCGGCAGTGGTTGCACTCACTCGGCGATCAGAGATGCTGCAAAGTTCCCATCGATGTGATATTAATCATTCAGAAAGTAAAAGTATACGGCGTACCCGAGGATCAGAAGAGGAATCAGCAGTAATGCTGCACTTACAAGATAGAGCAACCCAGGGAAAAAATGTAGCGTTTCCGGATATACATTATTGAAAAATGCACTTGCCAAAATACCTGTTGTGCCCTCCAATAAGGCAATAACAGAGAACATTCTACCTTCAAATAATCAGAATTTTACTTCAAAGACATAAAGGGCGTCATGGATCCATGAATACGTACCCTGTTCACCGGTTTCTATGATACTGGAAATGAATGACCGGAATCCAGTTGAGACGAAACGGTTCAGAGACGTGAATACTGTAGGGAAAATTAATGCTTGATATTATTTCAACCACAAGAAAATACCTACCAATCACTGAGTACGCCATTCCTGTGTTTGCTACGAAGGCAAGCATGATTAGAGATATCATCTTTGCGAACAAACCAAGACATCCAAGAATGCCGTCAGTCAATCCTCGAATATATAGTAATGGATACACGACCATTACCTGTTAAACAAAGGAGTGTTCATAATTGTGTGGAGTTGATACGCTACTACATCATAACTACTATGTTACTATACATATCTTGCTATGCCGTTGTTTGAAACGGACATTCCTAAACAGCATTTGTTTGCAAAAATGGTCAGTAGACTAAGCAAGTAAAATTTACAGTCGCAGTTGTTACAGCATACTGTAGCCCGCTAAACCATCCGTACTGCTTATCACCCCATCCCAATTTGAATCGAAGATAGGAGTACTGAATATCCATCATTCCTGAAAAGCTTGTATGAAAAAAAAACTGAACAAAACAACTCAAGCTTCATTAAACAGCTTACCAGCGAATATGAAGAGCTCCACACCAAAAGCCAATAGATTCAATCCAAGAAGAAGCCGGAATCTTCGATCAGCTGTGAGGACTTCTCGGTACTCGGATAGCGCTTGAAAAGACTTCCGAAGCACCCTCGATAGGAGGCCTGGAAATTCTGCTCAATAGTAGAGTTTAACGTAAAGACCTTTGGAAATTTACTACCAACTACTTCGTATTTTTGGGAGAATTAAAGAGTTCCAAAATGTGAGCGATACATTGCATACTCAGAGCGCACCGCTGATAAAGAAAAAATACTAGCAATTGAAGCATCCGGCGTTGATTAATCACTTATGGGAATACGCCGCGCGCTTTCCATTCATGGTGAATGCGATATGGATATACAATGACTTATGGAAGCTAGCCGGTGTGCAAACCGAGGTTTTTACCTTTTTTGTGACTGAAAACAATGAACTGGTTTGTATAGCCCTTGAATAGTAGATTCCGACCTTTGCTTCAGTGCGAGCCGTGCACTCCACATCCAGCACTACTCGCGATTGCCTTCCCTCCCGAATAAGTCTACATCTGCTCTTTTCACTGCTTATTCTCAAGTCATACGTCGACGACCTAGAGGCTACCAAGAACCATATGTATATGTGATATGTCAGTTGCGACCACTAGGAAAAAAGTACAAAGGTTCACTTATGAAGATGGACGATCTAACAATAAGATAGGTCGCACGAAGAAAAAGCAGCGCATGGGAGCAAGTAACCTTGGGGCGGCCATATGTCAGGCTATAGATTGAAGCTCTAGCAAAAGTGAGCGTTTTCGGAGAAATGAGACAAAACGATCGATAGAATAGGATGCAGTAGAGTGTGAGATGATAGTTCAATAAGTCAAAAGAGTAAATGAGCTTCTAGCGATGGCACTCCGGAACCAAGTGGAAGCATTCCCACCACCAACATTTGTGACAGATGTCGGCGGGAGTTCGAACGCTTAGGGTCCTTTCGGTTTTCGAACCATTTACTTTTTGTTCTCTTCGTTCTTATCGTGGACGTTGGATCTCAATACAATGATTTATGCTGAGATAGAATCATGATTCTTCCGGGAGGGATTCCTGCGAAGCTGCTACATTATTCTTTCATTCGGCTAAATTGTGGAGAGCTCTAGAAACTGTAGCTCTGACAATGCAAACCCCTGCTGACCAGCATTTCAGAGAACGGTTTGTCGCAAATGTCCACGAGGAACACGTTGTGCCAAACCTGGTACCATTTTGTATCAAATTCTTATGATCTCGCCAATGTAGAAGGTCACTTGGATACCTGAGAGGTTTTAATGTGCTCATCGACTTCCAGTCGAAAATATCTGGTTTCAGATTGACAAGGTGTAATTAATTCGCTCTTAAATGTATAGGAAAAGTTTTTTGGCCCAATAAACTTTGAAACGAAACATTAAAACTACGTTCTTTAACGTTGACGACATTGTGCAGCGCATGCGCATCACA